CGCGCTCGCCCCCCGCCCCCCGCCACTGCCGCCGCCCCCGCCTGGGTGGGCGCCTTGTGCTCCTCTTTGACAGCGCGGTAGTTCTCCCCCCACGCCGCGGGCATCTCCGTGCCGTGCTTGCGGCTCAGCGGGTAGGCCCCAATGGCTGCCAGGATGCTGCGGTGGCGCTCGGGGTCCATCTCGGTGTAGTACATCTCCAGGGTCAGCGGTGTGCAGATCTTGTGCTGCGCGAGGAAAGACCGGGTCAGGGGGCCCATGGGGACGGGGAGGAGGCGTGGGATGCGAGCACCCAGGTTGACTGCAAGAGGGCTGAGTGTTCTTAACCGCACACCGCTCTAATGGGACGGACATTTGCGTCACGTGCCCGGGAATGACTGCACCCCCTGGGCTCTGTCCGGTGAGTTTACGCCGTTCCTCTGCTTTTGAGCACTTAGTAATACTGTAGGTAGTTGAACGCATTTATTTCTGCCATCATTTCAAGCCACCAAGAGCCGGCCTCCAGTTCAGAACGCAAGGTTTCATGCAGAGTCACAGGAAAAGGTGGTTACTGCCTGTTCCCCAGGGAAGAGGGGCGCCGACTGCCGGCAACTAGCTCTCCCTAGATAGGCATCGCTGGGACTGTGCGGGAGCTCTGCTATCAGCTGTGGGTCTCTGAGCTGCCTCTGTCGGGGAGCTTCCTAGCAGACAGGATGGAGCTAATGGGGAAAGATTTTACTTCTGAAAAATGAAAGGCTTTCGAAAAATACACTAAAAATCACAACCATCAATACTAGAGAGAAAAACAAGATGGCAGAAAATATTTACCAAATATGCAGAAAATGCTAATATCCTTATTACATTTTAAAAACTTTCCACAAGTCACTAAGAAAAAGGCAAATGATCTGCTGAGAAGACTAGCAAAGGGCTCCAGGTGTTCCCTGGAACAACAGGAGTGGTTCATGGCAGGAACCCCAGGCACAGAGCGGACTGGACCCTCACCTTTTATATAGCCTGTTCCTCCCATCTCAAGATTTATTTACAAAACCTGTTGCTAAAACACCTTTTCTTTAAACAGTTCAAAAGATAAGTTCTGGGACCAGCAGATGGCATCATGACTACGTCGCTGGACTCCCATGTAGTTGACTGTGGTTCGAGTCCTGGACCTGGTGGCTTAAACTCACGCTGGGCACATGTGCATGCATGCCCAAGGTCCTGAGAGGAGAATGGAGGAGAAGGAATTGTGGTGTGGTCATTCCCCCCAGGGGGTGATTTCTGTCTCTCTGGTGAGTGCACATGCCCCATAGCAAAACAAACAAAAAAACTCTCTCTCTAAAAAAAAAAGATAAGTTCTCCATGTATTTGAGAGAACAGACACTCAAGGAGTTCTGGGGAATCGTGTTTTTATAGGAGCAGAAAACCATTGTGGGCTGGGTTCAGGTGGTGATTGGGAAGAAGTAGAGGAGGGGAATACCCCCCTCCCTGACTAGTCTAAGGAGAAAAGAGAGATCTCCATAGGACTCCTCACTGTCTGGAGGCCATGGAAGGACAATGGCCCCTACTGCCCCCCACTCCAGAGCCCAGGCCTGAGGGTCACCAGTTCTTACCCGAAGCAAGAAGCCATCGGGGCAGGTGAACTGGTCGTACCAGATGGCCTTGTACATGATCAGGACACAGCCCAGGAGCGCCATGGCGAAGGCAATCAGCCGTGCTGTGGGCAGCTGGGAGGAAAGGAGAAGAACTCAGTACACTCCAGGGTCAGCGGTGTGCAGATCTTGTGCTGCGCGAGGAAAGACCGGGTCAGGGGGCCCATGGGGACGGGGAGGAGGCGTGGGATGCGAGCACCCAGGTTGACTGCAAGAGGGCTGAGTGTTCTTAACCGCACACCGCTCTAATGGGACGGACATTTGCGTCACGTGCCCGGGAATGACTGCACCCCCTGGGCTCTGTCCGGTGAGTTTACGCCGTTCCTCTGCTTTTGAGCACTTAGTAATACTGTAGGTAGTTGAACGCATTTATTTCTGCCATCATTTCAAGCCACCAAGAGCCGGCCTCCAGTTCAGAACGCAAGGTTTCATGCAGAGTCACAGGAAAAGGTGGTTACTGCCTGTTCCCCAGGGAAGAGGGGCGCCGACTGCCGGCAACTAGCTCTCCCTAGATAGGCATCGCTGGGACTGTGCGGGAGCTCTGCTATCAGCTGTGGGTCTCTGAGCTGCCTCTGTCGGGGAGCTTCCTAGCAGACAGGATGGAGCTAATGGGGAAAGATTTTACTTCTGAAAAATGAAAGGCTTTCGAAAAATACACTAAAAATCACAACCATCAATACTAGAGAGAAAAACAAGATGGCAGAAAATATTTACCAAATATGCAGAAAATGCTAATATCCTTATTACATTTTAAAAACTTTCCACAAGTCACTAAGAAAAAGGCAAATGATCTGCTGAGAAGACTAGCAAAGGGCTCCAGGTGTTCCCTGGAACAACAGGAGTGGTTCATGGCAGGAACCCCAGGCACAGAGCGGACTGGACCCTCACCTTTTATATAGCCTGTTCCTCCCATCTCAAGATTTATTTACAAAACCTGTTGCTAAAACACCTTTTCTTTAAACAGTTCAAAAGATAAGTTCTGGGACCAGCAGATGGCATCATGACTACGTCGCTGGACTCCCATGTAGTTGACTGTGGTTCGAGTCCTGGACCTGGTGGCTTAAACTCACGCTGGGCACATGTGCATGCATGCCCAAGGTCCTGAGAGGAGAATGGAGGAGAAGGAATTGTGGTGTGGTCATTCCCCCCAGGGGGTGATTTCTGTCTCTCTGGTGAGTGCACATGCCCCATAGCAAAACAAACAAAAAAACTCTCTCTCTAAAAAAAAAAGATAAGTTCTCCATGTATTTGAGAGAACAGACACTCAAGGAGTTCTGGGGAATCGTGTTTTTATAGGAGCAGAAAACCATTGTGGGCTGGGTTCAGGTGGTGATTGGGAAGAAGTAGAGGAGGGGAATACCCCCCTCCCTGACTAGTCTAAGGAGAAAAGAGAGATCTCCATAGGACTCCTCACTGTCTGGAGGCCATGGAAGGACAATGGCCCCTACTGCCCCCCACTCCAGAGCCCAGGCCTGAGGGTCACCAGTTCTTACCCGAAGCAAGAAGCCATCGGGGCAGGTGAACTGGTCGTACCAGATGGCCTTGTACATGATCAGGACACAGCCCAGGAGCGCCATGGCGAAGGCAATCATCCGTGCTGTGGGCAGCTGGGAGGAAAGGAGAAGAACTCAGTACAGGGGTACAGGCAGTGAACGAAGCCCGTGGACCAGCTTCTTAGCAGAAGCCCCTCAGGGGCTGGGGCTAGATGTAGGACCCCTAGGTGGTCACAGTCCCCTTCCCAGATGGCCAGCACGAGGGTCACACGTCCAGGCACAACCCCTTGGGTATCAGACCTTGTTGGTAGTCTCTCTGCTGGGATTCTGGAAACATCTATCGGGTAAAATGCATGAGACCTTTGTCCCAGCAGGTGCTAGTAAAATTTTGTCTTGTAAGGGCCAGCAGGTGGCATGGCAGTTAAGGCACTGGACTATCACATAGCCGACAGTGGTTTGAGTCCCGAGCCCAGTGGCTTAAAAATCACACTGAGTATGTGTGTGTGTGCATGTCCCAAATCCCTAGAGGGATGGAGGAGAAGGAATTGCGGCATAGCCATCCCCTGTAGGGGGTGATTTCTCACTTTCTCTTTCTATGTATCTCTCTGTCTCTCTCTCTTCTTCAGCAAGCTCACATGCCATGTGACAAAAACCTACCCCCAAAAAATGCCTTGTAATTTTCCTGTCTGTGTGGGCACAGGCTGGCAACCACGGCATTGCATGGGTATCCAATGACCTGGAGGCCATCTCAAGGGCTCACCAGACCTGCAAAGGGATTCCCCATGAGAGAAGGTGTGTTAATAGCAGTCGAAGATAAACTAGAAAGTACAGCAAGGCCTCACCTGGCCTCTGTACGGAGTACTTCCATTGCAGGAGTGATGGAATTAAAGAGAAAAGGGGCAGGTTTTACTACTGATAAAGAATGGTTTCAGAAATAGTCCACTAAAAATGACTAAAACTTGGAGCAGCCATTGGCATGGTGGTTGTGGAAGCTGGATTCCCCATGGCTGACTGCACAGTTGAGTCTTGAACCCAGCAGCTCGAGAAGTGTGCTGGATGCATCTACACATGTGCCCCATCCGGAAAGGAGTGAGAGATGGAGGACAATGGGTTACAGCTTGACCATACCCCATGGGAGATACTTTCTTGCTTTCTCTCTCTTTCCTCTGGTGAGCGCATGTGTCCTCTGACAAAATATAAAAAAAAAAAAAATTTTAAGACTAAAAATAGCATGAGGGAAGTTAAGAAATAAGGAGAAAGATGAGCGATACTTACCAGGTATATTGCAGAAAAATATAATGTTCATATTCTATAGAAAGCCTACAAGTCACTTAAAAACCTCACTGGTAAATCAGCCAAAAAGCGCAGAATGGCTCTTCCCAAAAAACACATTGCAGGAGCTCAATAGTCTGAAGGTAGCTGTTGTTTACCTTACTTACTGCCTGGAAAGGAAAACTTGGCTGGTGCAGAGCTGCTAATAACTAGTTCTGAAAGTCCAGCCACTGTCCAACTCTTCCCTGAGAGCAGAAGCCAGATCAAGAGAGGCTCCACCATGGCCAAAGCCTGGCACCCACAGCCTGTACTGCCTCTTTGCCTTCTGCCTGGGCCCTGGCTCCCTTAGTAGGATGGGGTGGGTGTGGTTACCCTGCGGCCTTCCTCCGGGTGGCTACAGGTCAGCCTCTGGCCCTCCAGGTCGGGGAACTTCTTCGGTTGGTCCGGAGAAGACAGCTGGTATTCCGTCTGTGTCTTTATGACCACCTGTGGAAAGAGGTGTCCATGGACTGGATGCTGTCTGCAAGTCAGTGCAGGAATTTTTGGTTACCATGTAGCCAGTTTACCCTGCTAACAGATGAGTAGAATCAGCTCTGGGAGACAAAGGACTTGACCAGGAGGTCACAGATTGCCTGTGGCCAACTCGGTTTTCCACCCAGCCTGGTGCTTTCTCTGCTTGACCTTGAAAGAAGTCACATCTAAATGAACCTCACCTACACCCAATTTGTCCCCAAGGGTGCTTCATAAGGGCACCTTGAGCTATCCTAGACCCGTACCTGGTCAGGGAATGGTGGCTGGAGCTGGCTGACGTCGAGGGGACTGATTAGAGGAACACTGTCCGTGGAGGCCCCATCTTGGTCCCCAGGGTCTTTGCCTGGCTTTCCGGAGAAGCTGCAGCCCAGCTTCACCATGGTGGATGGTGCTCCTTGTCCTGTCCGGAGATAGATACAGGGTCATTGTCTGCAGGCCATTCCATAGACACTCACTCTAGCTGACTCTGGAGCAAGAGGACACCAGGCTGTTCCCAATAATGGGTCTTGGGCAGCCAGGCCAACCTTCCCAGGGCAAATTGGGCAAGTATAGCCAAAGGCTTCTAGTCCCTTCCTGACTTCCAGGCCCTCTGGGCTCCATAGTTGTACAGAGGTTGGCACTTCTGATTAGTGACTGCCAAGACACCAAACTGAGGGAGTCTCCTACCAGCTGACATGCTCTTTGGACTTTGTAAGGGCAGCTATTTTGGTCAAATGAAAATGATCCCGGATAATAGCCTGGAGAGCTGGATTGCCAGAATAAAAATACAGGAGGCCCAGCTAAATATAAATTTCAGATAAGCAATGAATTTTTTTTAGTGTATATATATCCAGTGCAATATGTGTTATAGGATATATTTATACTAAAAAGTCATTTATTAGGCTGGCAGGTGGTGTGGTAGTTAAGGTGGCTGGACTCCCACATGGCTGACCATGGTTCGAGTCCCAAATCTAGCAGCTTGCTTTCTCATTTTTCTTCTCTTTCTCTATCTCTGGTCAACTTCAAAAATAAATAAATAAATAAATAAAAATAATGACAATGAGTAAAATTAAAATAGTTCTGTAAAAAAATTTTATAAAAATAATTCATTGTCTCTCTAAAATTCAAATGTCATTGAGTGTCCTATGTTTTATCCGGTAACCTTACAGGACATGCAGGAAGTAAGAAAGCTACTGAAAGAGGACATCTGAGGCTAAATTCAAATGCAAACTGTGAAGAACACAATATTCATGGTGTATGGCAGGCCAGATCTCTTGGGCAGCTGAAATACCATGACTGGACCCCATGAGTCAGGGCAGCCAGTGGAGAAGACAGGTGCAGTCCCCATGTGACTCGGAGGAGGGTATAAGCCTCACTAATACTGGCTAAGTCAAGGGTGCACAGTTTCACCTCTAGGCTGACCTCGCTGAGAAAAGGGATGTAGCAAATGACTTCCAAGCTGATAGATGGAACAAGTAGAAACACCAAATGTAATCAATCAATCAAAGGAGAAAAGAAAGTTTCAGACCAGTAAGTGGCTTAATAGGGTGATTGGATCCCTGAGTCTTGGACAGAGCAGCTTGAAACATAGGCTGGGTAAGTGCATGCCTAGAATGTGTAAGGCAGGGAGAAATTAAAGAGGAGAAATTACGGTGTGTTCATCATCCATGGGAGGTGTTTTCTCATTTCCTCTCTCAAGAGCACATGTTCCCTCTGACAAAATAATGAAATAGGAAAGAAAAAGAAAGTTTCTATGTCCACTAAGAATTTGAACGTCATTGGGAACCAGCAGTTAGCATAATGGCTATGTCGCTGGATTCCCACGTAGTCGACTGCGGTTCACATCACGGACCCGGTGGCTTAAAACTCACGCCGGGTGCATGTGCGTGCATGCACAAGATTCGAGAGGAGAATGGAGGAGAAGGGATTGTGGCGTGACCATCCATCCCCCCTGGGGGGTGATTTCTCACTTTCTGTCTCTATGCCTCACGCGCCGTATAACGAAAATCTCTCAAAAAAAAAAAAAAGAATTTGAACGTCATTAAAAAAATCTTATCACAGCGGACTCTGGGCTCGAGAGCATTACTATTGACCTCTACCAATATTTTGAAATAATGCAAACATCATACGGAACTCTTTAAGATTAAAACAAAAACAAAAACAAAAAAACAGGGACCAGCAGATAGCGTAATGGCTTTGTTGCTGGACTCCTCTGTAATCTGCAGTTCGAGTTCCAGACCTGGTGGCTTAAACTCATGCCAGGAGCGTGTGCGTGCGTGCCCAAGATCCTAGCTGAGAGAAGAATGGAGGAGAAGGGATTGCAGCATGGCCATCCCCCCTGGGGGATGATTTCTCGCTTTTTGTCTCTCTGTCTCTCTCTTTCTTTCTGGTGAGCCCACACATTCTATAGCAAAAACCTCTCAAAAACAAAAGAAAAGAAAATCATAGCTTTCAAAGAAGGGAAACAGAAACTGGTAGAAGTATTTGAAACTTCCAGGTGGCAAAGGCTTGTTATGGGTTGAGTGGTGACAAATGATTTGTGCAAGTCCTAGTCCCAGAATCTGTCAATGTGACCTCATTTGGAAGTAGGCTCTTTGCAGACGTAATCAAGATGAAATGACATACTGGATTAGGATGGTCTCTAATCTAATGACTGGTGTCCTTATAAGAATAGGGACATTTTTAACACAAGGAGAATGCCATGTATAGACAGAAGTCGAGATGGGAGTGATGCAGCTATAATTCAGGAATCTGTAGCTACCAGAAGATACAAGAATCAAGGAAGCGTCTTCCCCTAGAGACTTTCCAGTGAACATCACTCTGCTAACAACTTGATTTTGGACTTCTGGCTTCTAGAACTGTGAAGGAATACATTCTATTTTTTTGGAGAGGTTTTTGCTATAGGACGCATACACTCGCCAGAAAGACACAGAGAGACAGAGAGACAAAAAGCGAGAAATCACTCCCCAGGGGGGATGGCTACGCCGCAATCCCTTCTCCTCCATTCTCCTCTAGGGATCTTGGGCATGCATGCACACATGCCCGGCATGAGTTTAAGCCACTAGGTCTGGGACTTGAACTGCAGTCAACTACATGGGAGTCCAGCGACATAGCCATTTCACCAACTGCTGGTCCCTACATTCTATTATTTTAAGCCACTCAATTTTAATACTTTGCGAACAGGCCTAGGAAGGCCAGGTGCTTGCCAGACCTGCAAGTGATTACTCTTTCTCACCCTGCAGTGGGCAGGTCCAATGGGAGCACCTAGGAGATTCCTTGACTCCTTGTCAGGGACTACGGACACCCCCTCCCTTGACCCCAGAGTCAGGGAAACCAGACCAAATGCACAGGTGAGTAGGATCTATATGTGGAAGAATCTGTGTGTGGAGGAATAGGCAGGAGAGGAGAAAGAGAAACAGGTAGGGGATCTGGGGGAAGTGGCCAGAGATGCCACTCTGAGTTGGGGAGAAGCAGTGAGCTTCAAGCCCTGAGATACTCCCCACCCCCCACCCCCCAAAAAAGCAAAAACAAAAACAAACCCTTCTGTCCTCCTCTCCATGGTGAATTCTCCAGGCGCTCTGGGGAGGAGGATTCTCTTAGGGTCCATGCCCTTTCTTTGATGTATGTTTAGCGCAGGTGACTCTACCTGGGCCCTTCCAGATGAAATAATGCAAAATGCCACCCGTTCATCCTACATCCTATTCCCCAAGCTGGGGGGAGGGGGTGTGAGTGGGAGGGATGCCCTGGGGAGGATGCACTGACACCTAGGATTCAGGCAGGTGAGCAGACTGTCGCTGACAGATTAGGTGTCACGGTGCAATCCTTCGCGCTGCAGACTACGCCGCTGCCCTGGCGGGCCTTAGGAGTACAACATCGCAACTGCGTGGGGGCAGAGATGACGATGAGCGGGCAGAGTATAAGTACAAAAGGTCGGTTGATCAAGTGGAAGCAGGAAATAATGCAGCGGATGGGCCAGGAGAGAGGCGCGAATAGGAGACGGTGCAAAGAAAGGGTCCTGGTAGGAGAAAGGGGGCCTGCAGCGAGTGCTCAACCTTGAAGCGGAGCTTGACCCGTGGGGTGGGGTGATGTCATTGAGGAGCAGGGCTGGGAACCTTCTTAGAGGGAACGACCAATGCTAACCCAGCCTCTCTGCACACTGGGCAGCGGATGGGCCAGGAGAGAGGCGCGAATAGGAGACGGTGCAAAGAAAGGGTCCTGGTAGGAGAAAGGGGGCCTGCAGCGAGTGCTCAACCTTGAAGCGGAGCTTGACCCGTGGGGTGGGGTGATGTCATTGAGGAGCAGGGCTGGGAACCTTCTTAGAGGGAACGACCAATGCTAACCCAGCCTCTCTGCACACTGGAGAGTGCATGGCAGGGGTTCCAGACTCTCTGCAGACCGGAAAGAGGGCGGCAGGCGG